TTGTAAGTTTTGTTTTTTTTTTTTTTTTAATCATATTTTCTTTTTCTTTTCTTTTTTTTACTTTTTATGTGGCATATGCACACAGTCTTATCAAAATTCCTATACAAAGAATTTTGACAGCTTTTTATCTCTCTTGGAAACCCCTCCTGCTCTTGGGAGTTTCTACTGTATGAGTTCTGGGCACTGAATTCAGGTTGTCAGATTTGGTGGCAGGTGCCTTTACCCATTAAGCCATCTCGCCAGCCCTTAGGTTCTTTTCTCTTCTTCTCCTCCCTCTCCTCCTCCCTGTCCTCCTCCTTCCCCTCCCCCTTCCCATCCTCCCAGCTATCTACCTGCCTTTGCCCTCTGAGTGGGCAAAAAGATGTGCAGCACCAAGTTTGGCTTGCATCCTTATGTATATGAGCAACCTCTTTCCAGCCTGTCCCTCCCTCATTTCCTTTTTCCTTCCTTCCTTCCTTCCTTCCTTCCCTCCCTCCCTCTTTTCTTCCTCCCTCCCTCCCTGCCTTCCTTCCTTCCTCCTTCCCACTCTGCCTCCTTTTCTTTCAGACCAGTTCTCACTATGTATCCCAGGTTCCCTTGAACCCATGGTGATCTTGCTTCTGTCTCCTGAGTCCTGGGATTACAGGCATGCAACCCTGCCCCCAGCTGTGAGCACTTTCTATCAAAACCCCTGCACCGTGAGATAGGCTAGATGCTCACACTGGTTTGCAGAAGACAGAACCCCTGGTAGTCCCAGTGGGCTGGAAGATCCCTACTTCAGAGACTTAGTAGGGGCTCTGAAGGAAAACCAGGGGGGTCCCAGTGCTGGGGGTGGGGACCCCACTGGCACCTGCATTATTGTTGTCGCTGCCACCTGGTGACTCCAGGGTCTGCAGGAAGGTCTCCAGAGGGACATGTGCCAGGGACTCTCCAACAGCATCCCGAGCCCGGCCATGTGGGGCTGTCACCACTGCACCCATGGCTGTTGTTGTTTCTGAGGGCCGGGACAGGTCTCCTGCAGAGGAAATAGAGGAGAGAAACATGTCCCTTTATCTGTCCTCCAACACTGCCCCCCCCATTACTCCAGCTGGCTCTACACCACCTACCGTCTGTCAGGAGTTCGCAGCTGCAGGAGGCTACTTGGCTGGCCAGACAGCCTCCCTGTGTACAGGACAGATCTGTGTCTTCCTCACTGTCTCTGTGGAGATAAGAGGGTAGAACACATCTTGCCATGAGCCTTACTTACAGCTCATCAGGTCCTGCCTACTCCTCAACCTCCCACTGGCTTTATGGTCCCTGTGAGAGTGACCAGTGAGATAGCCAAGTGGACACAGTGTCCTCTAACGTTGCAGCCCACTCCTGAGATCCCACAGATACCTTCCAGTAGGGGGAAGGCATGATGATGGGTGGAGCCTGGGCAGCCCCTTTCCCACCCAGTGTCTTTGTCTCTCTGTCTGTGACTTAAGGTATCTGAGGCTATGTCCCAGCTCTAAAATTCTGCAAAATGAGATCTGGTCCCTGTGGGAAAGTCTTTCTAACAGATGGCTGGCAGGGTGATGGGAGGAATTGATAAGCACTTTGAGGATCAGGGTCTGCAAGGCACTTAGAACTCTTAATTGAGCTTTCCTTAAATGAAGCTGTTAATTAGCAGCAGCCCCCAACCCCCCAGGGCTGCCTCACCCCATTAGCCAGAAGAGCTGCTGCCAAGTGCTCGGTCGAATGCCACTCTTGCCCCCTCCCTCCCAGCCTGGCATCTCTCCTGGAAGGTGGCGCCATCCTCATCCTGTACACAGTTGACTGAAACTGCCCTCTGCACACTATTAGCTGTGGCTTCCTAGTGCCCCAACCTTCTGGCTTCCTCATAAAAATCCAATTTTTTTTTTTTTTTTTTGGTCTTTTCTTGAGACAGGGTCTCCCTGTAGCCCAAGCTGTCCTGGAACTCACTATGCACTATGTAGACCAGGCTGGTCTTGAACTCACAGAGATCTGGCTGCCTCTGCCTCCTGAGTGCTGGGATTAAAGGCGTGCGCCACCACGCCAGGCCTAACAATCCAATTCTTGATGGGGATCGGGGTGTGTGTTAATGGTAGAGCTCATGCCTAGCATGGATGAGGGCCTGGGGCAGATATCATGGAGTCCTTGATGCCCCCTTCTGTCTGGCTCTGGTCCAACTGCTTTGTTATTGTTGAGTTTTGTGTGCTTGTTTTTTGAGACAGGGACTCATATTGCTTAGGCCAGCCTTGAACTCACTGAGGATGGTCCTAGACTCCTGGTCCTCCTGCCTCTACCTCTCCAGTGCTGGGATTACAGGTATGTGCCACTCAATCAGTTTTCATCCAGGGCTTCATGTGTGCTAGGCAAGCACTCTACCAACTGGGCTGTACCTCAAGCTCCATACTGTTTGTTCTGCTACAGGGCCTCCCTATTTCACTCACTCTAGCCTTAGACTGGAAATCCTCCAGTCTCTGTCTCCTGTCTCTCCCTTTCCCTCTCCCCCATCTCTCATTTAGAGATAGGGTCATACTATATAGCCCTGGATGGCCTGAAACTTGCTGTGTAGACCAAGCTAGCCTTGAACTCACAGAGATTCACCTACATATGCCTCCTGAATGCTGGGATTAAAGGTATGTGCCACCATGCCTGGCTTAGGCCCATTCTTTAGTTATTATTGCAGTGCTGGTAATTGAATTTAGGACCTTTAAAATTTTTATTTTTTAGAGACAGGGTTTCCCTGTAGCTCCAGCTGGCCTGGAACTCACTATATAGACCAGGCTGGCCTCTATTTCAGAGATCCCCCTGCTTCTGCCTCCCAAGTGCTGAAATTAAAGGCAAACACCACCATGTCCGGTTTGCCTGGGCCTTGAGGTAGGAGCTTCTCTCCATCCTGGGGTGTGGCCCTGTCTCAGTTCATCTTCCAGTGGTTTGAGGCTCCCCTGGAGTAAGGACATGGGGGTCTAACTTCCTCCCAGGTTCCCAAGGCTGGGCCCTGCAGAAGCAGCCCACAGAACCTGCCCTGGGTGGTAGGAGGGTTTAAGGTATGGGTGATTCTGGCTGACATCAGCTCGGGTAGTATTTTGGTTCTGCCCTTCCAGGACCAAGGGCATGCCAATACCTGTCCACTCCCCATCCTTGGGCCCTTGGCACTCACCCAGGATCCACACAGCCCTGGATGTCAGCCACCCATGAGTGTTTCTGCAGCGAGTCTATGGTCTCCAGGATGTACTCTGCTCCGTTCTCTACCTGGGGAGGAGAGTGGCCTTGGTCTAGCCTCCTCTACCCTCAGGCAGGAGGCTCCACATCCCGGGACCAATAGGCAGAAGGGTTCGTATGACTCTACCCACCCTTTCGCTAGGGCTCATGGGTATAAACAGCAGGGCAGATAGTGGGGTCACCCAGGCCAGGGTCTAGGGGGTGCAGCCTGCAGACCATATAGGGGAGGAAATGCAGGTTCAAGGTCTTAGATGAGGGATAGGAGATCCAGCATGCCCAGGTATCCCATGGATGCAGTCCAGGTCAACTGGACAGGCCAGCTGGCTCGGCACAGAGTTGAGGGGCTCCCAGGCCTTCCTCCCTGCAACTTCACTTTAGCATTTGGAGTTAGGTCCTGTTCATGCCTTATGTGATGAGCTTTTCCCAACACCCCTCGAAGGAGGTTTGGTATAGTCCTCTTTTGACACAGGGTCTCCCTATAGCCCTGGCTGGCCTGGAACTCGCTATATAGACCAGATTGGTCTCTAATTCCCAGAGATCTGCTTGTCTCTGCCTCCTGAGTGCTGGGATTAAAGACTTGTGCCATTGTACCCAGCTTTGGTCTTCATTCTATAGATAAGAACCTGGCATTCAGAGAGACCCAGGAACTTGCTCAAAGTCACTGTGCTACATGGAAATCTTTAGTTGTCAACTTGACACAACTGGGCAGAGGGAGCCTCAATTGTGGAATTTCCCTCATTGGACTGGCCTGTGGCCATGTCTGTGGGGCATTTTCTTGATTATGGAGTGATATGGAAGGGCCCAGCCCACTGTGGGTGGTGTCACCCTTGGGCAGGTGGTCCTCTAGTGTATAAGAAAGCAGGTTGCACAGGGACCAGAGGAGCAAGCCCTCAAGCAGCATTCTTCCATGGCCTGTGCTCCAGGGTCCTGCCCTAAGTTGCTGCCTTCGCTTCCCTTGATGAGGGACTGTGCTGGTAAGCCAATAAACCCTGTCCTCCCCAAGTTGGTATTGGTCAGAGTGTTTTGTCACAGCAATTGAAGGCAAACTAGAACAGTCACATAGTGGCCAGCAGCAGTCTGGGACTCAAACCTAGGTCTCTGAGGCACCCAGTCTTCCTGCTCTCACCTTGTGAAGTCTATCAAAATGCAATGTTGGACTAAGAGGACCCTCAGAGAGCTGCCCCTTTCAGATGGGGATCGGAGCTCACAGTGGGGCTGGCAGGTGACTCCTTCTGTCTCGGGGCTCCCTGGGCATAACTAGGTGCCTTAAGGCCACCTGGCACATGAAAGTACCAGCTGGTCAGGGGCTGCATTCTCAGATACCAGTCTTGAAGGGGACAACTCAGGACACAGAGTTGGCACATGTTTGCCCAATGAATAAATGAGACTGTGGCTTGTAAAAACATAAACTCAATGAGAGCCTGCCAAAGAGGGGGGGGGGGCTCCAGGCAGCTTCCAGTGGGTAGAACCCAGCCTCCCGGGAGACTCTACTTCACAGACATTCACCATCCTTCCAAGAAGCCTGGACCACAATCATAGCAGCCTAGACTTGTGTCCTCAACAGCCCCGGTAGGCCACCCTGGTGCTGTGGGCCTGGGAAAGGGACAAATGGCCCTCAGACCCATGGATGGGGGGGTCTCCTGCCCACCCTCAGTGCCTTTGTGCCCTCTGTAGGCACTAGGACTGGTTCCCACACGCCACTGCCCAGGGCCAGGGGGGCCATTTGCATAATTGCAACAAGCTGGCTACCAGTTCCTGCTGTGTGGTGGGTATGCTCTGGTTCCACAGTGGGAGGAGCTGAGTAAAGCTCTAAAGACCATCCAGACCCAAGAAGAAATGAGGACAGGGCTGGGCTGGCAAGATGGCTAGTGGGTGAAGGTGTCTGCCACCAAGCTTGATGACCCAAGTTTGATTGCCTGGGGAGGACCCATGTGGTGGGAGAGAACAGATTTCTTCAAGGTGTCCTTTGACCTCCACAACCACACCTCCCACACACATAGTCAAAAAATATATAAATGTAATTTAAAAGATAACAAACAAGGGCTGGAGAGATGGCTCAGTTAAGAACACTGGCTGCTCTCAAAGAGGTCCTGGATTCAGTTTCCAGCACCCACATGGCAGCTGACTACCATCTGTAACTCTAGTTCCATGGAATCTGACACCCTCTTCTGGCTTTTGTGGGCACTGCATGCATATGGTGTGCTTATACACATGCAGGCAAAACATTCATACATATAAAAAAATAAAAAATGAATTTTTAAAGATTAAAAAAATAGGGATAAGGGGATCCAGACATCTGGGGATGTCAGGGTGCGCAACTCCAGAACTCAGACCCTACCTAGATTATAGACACCTGTTGTGGGTTCCTCCACAGGAACTCCCCACTGGCCCCCTGTTGGCCTGACTTGAACCCTCTATGACAACCTCTAGTTGCGTGGATGTGGCCTAGGCAGCTGTAGGTCAGGGTTACAGTATGGGCTCACCTTGAGCACAAATGTGTTGTCCTTCTCTGGCATTTCCAGGGGCATGGTGGTTCGGACCTCGATGATGGCTGACAGGGGGATGCTGACCTTGGGTCTGGAAGCCTGGGAGACCAGAGGAATGACAAAGGGAGGATCACCTTGGGGGCCTTATGACACCTTCTCTGTACTTTCCAGCATGAGTGGGTCAGAGTAGCTAAGACTGCTAATATTACAGTGGTCTGAATACGTAGCAAACCCCATTTCAGAAATGGGGAAGTTGAGGGAGGCAGCGAGGTCTTCCTCCTATAGTCATGGCAAGACAGGCATGAACTACTGCTGTCACTGGTCCCTGAACTCTGAGGTGTGAGTGCTACCTGCCCTGCCTTCTACCCAATGCACCCACCATATATGAAATACCTGCCCTACTCCTTTCTTCCTCTCTCACATTCTTCCTTTATGTTACTGAGCGTTGAAACCAGGGCCTCATGCATGGTAAGGAAGTGCTCTACCACCGAGCCAGGTCCCCAGCCCCTCACTGGGGGGATTCTAGGCAGGTGTTCTGCCACTGAGCCATGCCCCAACCCTTGGCTTTTGGACAGGGTCTCACTGTAGTACAGGCTGACCTGGAACATACTACTGTCTTTGAGCTGAGGGCCATTCCTTCCTGAGTCTCTCCGGTATAAAAAAACTACACTCAGTTTGGAGGTCATCATATTTTTTTTTTTTTTGGTCTTTTTGAGACAGGGTCTCCCTGTAGCCCCAGCTGTCCTGGAATTCACTATGTAGACCAGGCTGGCCTTGAACTCACAGAACTCCGCCTGCCTCTGCCTCTGCCTCCCAAATGCTGGGATTAAAGGCAGGCACCACCATGCCTGGCCTTCTTTTTTCTATTTTTATGTGTCTTTGTGTGGTGTGCATGTATGTATATTTACATGTGTATGGGCACACCTGTGTGGGGGTTCACATGTGGGAATGTGCATGTGTATGTGGAGGCCCGAGGCTGATGTTGGGAATCATCCTCCAACACTCTTCTCCTTATTCACTGAAGCAGGGTCCTCAATCAAACCCAGAGCTCGCTAAAATGACTAGTCTCTCTGGCCAGCTTGCTCTAGGGATCCCCTGCCTCTGTCTTCTGAGGCTGCAATTACAGGTAACCCATCCTGCCCACCCAGTCTTTATGTGAGTTCTGGGGAGCTAAACTCTGGCAAGTGCTTTAACCACTGAGCAATCTCCCCAGCTCAGAGACCAGCATTTTAATTTTAATTTTATTAAAAAAAATTTTCCCAATGAGCTGGGAGTAGTGATGCACACCTTTAATCCCAGCACATGGAAGGCAGAGGCAGGCAGATCTCAGTGAGTTCAAGGCCTGGTCTACATGGTAGATTCCAGGCCAGCTGAGGCTACAGGGAGACTGTCTCAAAAAGACCCCCCCAAAATTCCCAATGATAAGAATTTATTACATAAGTATACCTCTAAGATCTTCATGTATTTTAAAAATCATTTTTGTTTTATGTGTATGAATGTTTTATCTGCATATATGTAAGTGCAACTGTGTATGTCATGCTCTCAGTGGCCAGAAGAGGGCATTGGATCCCCTGGAACTGGAATTACAGACGGTTATTAGCTGCCATGTGGGTGCTGGGAACAGAACCTAGGTCCTCTGCAAGAGCAGCCAGTGCTCTTAACCACCCTCCAGCTCACCTTTAACATTTTAAAAATGAACTAGAACAGAAAAGGAAACACCACACATGACTACACACAGCAAAGGTAAATACTGTCTTCAGTGCCAGGCATGGTGATGCATGCCTTTAATCCCAGCACTCAGGAGGTCTACATAGCGAGTTCCAGGCCAGCTGGGGCTACAGGGAGACCCTATCTCAAAAAAGCCAAAAAGGAAAAAAAAGTATCTCTAATCCTTTTACCAGCCTCGGTGTGGCGGGGAAACTAGGGCTTGCTGCTGAGGTTCATGTGTATAATCGCAGCACTGGGGAGACTCAGGCAGGAAGATTTTGAGTTCCCATGCCAAGTGAGGCTACATAGTGAGACCTGCTTCAAAATATTTAAAGCAATATTTTAAAAAGGGAGTTGTGTGTGGTATCCCATGACTATAATCTCATCAGCTGGGAGGCAGAGGCAGGAGGATCAGGAGATTAAGGTTATCTTTGGCTACAAAGGGAGTTAGAGTCAGAGGCCCACCTGGGATACATGACACTTGTCTGAAAAAAAAAAAGGGCATGGCTTTGCTATAGAGTTCCTACCTAGAATCCCCCAGTGAGGGGCTGGGAGTATGGCTCAGTGGTAGAGCACCTTCTTAGCAAGTGTGCAGCCCTGGATTCCAACTCAACAATGGAAAAAAAAAAGACAGCTGCAGCAGGACTGATGGCCTCAGGCAGTAGGCTGAGAGAAGGACCACAGTGGCCATAGCCAGCAGGAACCCAGATGAATTCCCCACTACAAACCTGCCTTCCTTCCCTGCCCCAGGATAGCTACCCCTAGCCATATAAGCTGGTATGAAGACTGGATCAGCCATGTCCATTAGTCACTGCTCCAAGACCAGCCCAATGTCCCCTGGACAGTGTCCAGGGTGGCCAAGAATTCCCACCCGCCTGCCCACTATATTTGAAGCCCTTCCCTTTCTTCCTGAGAAAGTCCCTGTCCCAGAGCCCAAGCCCTGCCTGGAATATCAGCTACAGAGAGTCGGGAGGGAAAGGGAGGGAAGGAAGGGAAAGAAGGAAGGTTCAGGGAATAACCAGGAGTTTTGAGGCAGCATGCATAAGGGCATGTACAAAGCACTCTCCTAGGAGCCACTGCCAACTCACTTTGGTTTAACCCTGTGGTGGCAGCACTGGGATGCTAGTTCCCTTCCATCCATACCTGGATACAGGCCATACCCAGCTCTAGAGCTTGTTCTAAGCAGGGAGCTGTGCTACAGAAAATCTAATTCAGAGCAAGAGGCCAGTGTTTTCTGGAGATGGAACCCAGGGCCTTGCACTTGCTAGATAAGGGCTCTAATGCTGAGCCACACCCCCAGCCCTTCATGGGGGCTCTAGACAGGCCCTCTATCATACAGCCACACCCCTCGCTTCACCTGTCTCTACCTATTCCTACCCCAGTTACATCAGGTCTCTTAGCTCTTGTGTAGCTCAAGCGCCTCTGACTCCTGGTTGCAGTAACTCCCCACATGAAGGTTTTACATTCGGCCTGCAAATATGCCTGTCCTGGTGGTCCCTCAATGCCTGGGGGCTGATCTCATTGCTCTTTGGGTGTCAAGTCTTACCTGGTATAGAACTATGAGAGGATTTGGGGCTCAGGAGATGCTTCCTGCATGGGTAAGGGTACAGGAATGACCCTGAGTCACGGACCCCAAGCTCCTTAGTGCTCTAAGATGCAGCTACCTCCAAGGGGACAGGGAAACCTGGACTGTTGGGTGGATAAACAGGCATTGGAGGTGTCTAGGGACTGGAGGGACCTGGAGGTCTAGGGACCAGGAGGCCAATATCTGAGGATCACACACATACTGGGGAAACCCATCCCCAGTCTTCAACATGTGCTATGGGTTAGATGTGCTTTGCTTCCCAAGAGCTCATATGCTAGTGGTTTGGTTCCCAATATGGTGAGGTGGGGTGGGGAGGGGAAAAATATGAGCCTGGGATGTGGCTCAGCTGGTAGAGTGCTTGCCTAGTAAGTAAAGCACACTGGGTGCAATCCCTAGCACCATATAATCTGGATGTGGTGACACATGCCTGTTATTCCAGCACTTGGGAGGTGGAGGATCAGTTCAAGGTCATTTTGACTTCAGAGTGAGTTTGAGGCCAGCCTGGGCTACACGCAATCCTGTTTCAAAACAAAAGCATATAAACAACAAAAGGGCTGGCAAGATGGCTCAGTGGGTAAAGGTACTTGCTGCCAAGCTTGATGACCTGAATTTGATCCCCAAGACCCACATTTGTGTGCCAAAGTATCTCCCCCCACACAAATAAATGTGTAATTAATTTTTTTTTAAAGATGGGGGATTGAGCTGGGCATGGTGGCGCATGCCTTTAATCCCAGCACTTGGGAGGCAGAGGCAGGCGGATCTCTGTGAGTTTAAGGACAGCCTGGTCTACATAGTGAGTTCCAGGACAGCTGGGGCTACAGTGAGACCCTGTCTCAAAAAGACCGAAAAAAGGGGGGGGGGAGATTGGATAGATCAACCAAGCAGTTAAGAGCACTTGCTGCTCTTGCACAGGACCTGGGTGGGTTCAGCTCCTAGCAACCACATTAGACAGCTCAGAACTACCTGTAATTCCAGTTACAGGGATCTCTTCTGGCCTCTGGAGATACCTGCAAACTTGTGCACATACCCCTGCTCCATACATATTTTAAAAAAAGAGATGGTGGACCCTTTAAGATGTGAGGCCTTGAGGAAGATGGGTGGGTAACACTGGAGCTGCTCTCTTGGGAAGAGATTAATGTAGTTCTCAAGGGAACATGGTTAGTATCCAAACCAGGATGAATTGTTATAAAGTGAGGAAACATGGTGGTTTCCCTTTCTCTGCCCTATGGTGAGAAGCCAAAGAACTTTCACAGAGGTGGAGTAGATGGGCTCCCTGATCTTGGTATGCAGCTTCCAAAACTGAGCTACTGACCTATTTTGTTTTCCTTCCTTCCTTCCTTCTCTCTCTCTTTCCTTTTCCCCCTCCCTCCCTCCCTCCCTCCCTCCCTCTCTTTGAAACATGGTATCATGTAGCCCAGGCTGACCTTGACCTTCTATATAGCCAAGGATGACCCTGAACCCCTGATCCTCCTGCTTCTACCTCTCAAATGCTGGGATTACAAGCATGTACCACTAAACCCAGTTTCTTTTCTTTATACAGTATCTAGCTTCTAGTGTTTTGTTATTGAAACAGAAAATAGACTAATACATCCTAGGATGATTCATGCTTCCATGGGTCACTCCTGATATGCCCTGATATTTACGTCAGAATAAGGAGGGGCTGAAGTCATTGATCAGGGGTTAGGAACCCATTCGTGTTTCTCAGAGTTGGAGAAGGGCTCAGGGATCCCTTAGGAACCCTGCCTTCTGCCAGCAGCAAAGTTGGTAGGCTCTGTAGAGATCAATGGAGAGAAGAGGGCAGCAGCTGTGTCCTGTTCCCCAGGGTAGCAGACACTGCTATTTCCAGATCAGCAGCTGGGACTGTCACTCAGGGCTGGATGCAGTGACACCTTGGGCTTCTGCCCCTGCCCCCAGCAAGTCATCCCTCATTGGACTTTGGTTTCTCTGTCTGCTGCCAAGGAGTGGACTTGAGCTTAGTAGACTTTGATTTCTCTCAGGGACCTCAGGTTGGGGATGGGCTGGCAAAATTCCTTGGGAAATCTAGGGGTCCTGGGACTTAGGGAAAGCTCTCTTCAGAGAGTGTGTTCCTGAGTGGTTCCTGGCACATAGCTTTGGAAGCCCACACTCCTGAACCTCGGGGTGGGGCGGGGGAGGATCCCCAGTACATTGGCTCAGGGCATCTAGAAGGGCACCAGGAAGAAAGTGGGCCTTAGTACGTCCTAGGGTGTTGCCAGCTGCTGTGCCAATATCAAGGGGCTCCACCCCACATTCCTTTCATTTTGGGAACCACCAGAGTGGTGATTTATAGTTAGCCCATCTCTGCTACCCACTGGTTGTGGGACCTGAGGCAGGCCATATTCCTCCTCTGAGCATTCTATCTCCTCCTGGCTGGCCTGGAACTTGCTATGTAGATTCAAAGATCCAACTGCCTCTGCCTCCCAAGTGCTGGGAGTAAAGGTGTGTACCATCACACCCAGCTACACAGACACACACACACGCATGCACGCACACACGTGTGTGCACAGCGCATTTTAAAAATTAAGAAAAAAATTACAAGGCGATAAGGTTAGAGAGATGGCTCAGCGCTAGAGATGGCTCACAGTGATGGTTCAGCTAGTAAAGGCGCTTGCTTCCAAGCCTGATGACCTGAGTTTGATCCTTGGCACTCCCAAGATGGAAAGAAAGAACTGACTCCTGAAAGTCGTCCCTTGGCCCTCCATATGTAAACATTGTCCAGCCCCCTCCCCCAATACATAATGAAATGTAACAAAACTGTTGTGTCAGGGATGGAGAGATGGCTCTGCAGTTAAGAGCAGTTGCTATTCTTGCAGTTCTCAGTACCCACATGGCAGCTAAAAACCACATGTATAACTCTAGTTCCAGGGATCTGATGCCCTTTCTAGTCTTCATGAGCATTGCATACATGTGGTGCACTTCCACACATGTAGACAAAAAAATCACTCATACATAATAAAAAACCCCCAAGGGATAGGAGATGGCTCAGCAGTTAAGAGCAGTGGCTGCTCTTGGAGAGGACCTGGGTTCAGTTCCCAGTACCCACATGGCAGTTAGCAACGGTCTGTAACTCCAGTTTCAGAACATCTGATGCCCTCTTCTGGTCTCTATTGGCATTGCACAACAGGGGTGAACTTACATGCAGGCAAAACCCACTCATATTCATAAAAGATAAATAAATAAATAAAATTTTGAAAAAAAAGTTGGGTGCATGCCTTTAATCCCAACACTCAGGAGGCAGAGGCAGGCAAATCTCTGTGAACTTGAGGACAGCCTGGTCTACAAAGCAAGGTTCCAGGCCAGCTGGGGTTACAGGGAGACCCTGTCTCAAAAAATCAAAACCAAGAAAAACAAGACTCCAAAACCCCAAAACTGTTTGGGGCCAGATCAGGCCACACAATCTCCCACATCAGTTCCTGGGGCACCCACCTGTCACTGGCCTCTGGCTTTCCTAGGTTGTGCAGGTGTGTGGGTCCCAGTGGGTGTCCGGGGCTGACTGTAGATTGTAGTATGCAGTTGGACTCCATCCCCCACCCCCTTTAGATACTCACCTTGGGTGGCACGAAGAACTCCAGGCGGAAGCGTTCCCCCGCCACAGCCCTCCGCAGGAGCAGGCGACACTTCTGCCACTGTGCTGCACCCCCTGGTCCTGCAGCCGCATCGTCAGCCACCATGAAGCGCAGCGCTCCCTCGCGCTGAATGTCCACCAACTCCACCTTGGCCGCCAGAGTCCGGGCCAGCCGCAGGCGTCGTGTCCACTTGTCACGAGCCTCAATGGGTGGCTCGGCGGCCCTCGGGGTGGCCCCAGCATCTGGTTCCGGAGACGCGCGGCGATGCCACAAGTCGCGCACTCCGTCTACCACGCACAGGCTCATGTTGCGAAGCGAGAAGCCCTTGCGGACCCGGGCTTTGGTGGCCGCATGTGCAGACACGTCCTCGGAGCTCCGGGAGTGACCATAGGCTGCAGCCTTGAACGCCGAGGTCACTGCAGGCTCAGGCTCCATGGCGTCTGTGCACTCCGCTGGTGTCCCCAGTGTCACCGGCCCAGACACCAGCACGCGGCGCACCTCTTCGCTGAAGATGTCCAAGAAGTTGGCTGCAAAGTGGCGGGAGAACGAGGTCCCTGCGTCGGGCGTGTCGTAGGTGGGGTTGTCACGCAGGAAACGGCAGAACTTGTGCGCAAAGTCCACGGCGGCCACCTGCGCATGTAGCTCGCAAAACTGCCGCCAGTCGGGGACCGGGGCTGGGGTGGCGGCGGTGGCCGGGCCTGGGGTGGTACCATTCATGGCTTTGATCCCATCGCAGCCCCCTGAGGCTGAGGGGAGAAGAATGGGTAACTTTTCTTTTTTATAAAATATTTTATTGTTTTACATGCATGAGTGTATTGCCTGCATGTGTATAAGTGCGCCCGGGTTATGCAAAGCTCGTGGAGGTCAGAAGGAGTCAGAGCTCCTGGAATTGGGAGTTGGGACGCCATGTTCCTTCCAGAACTCCCATCTTCACTGGACCAATCTAGAAACCCCAGCTGTCTCTTCATCCCAGCTTCTTCCACTTTGTTGCTAGGCAACTCCAGCCTTTACTGCTCTGGTTGGGTAAACTGCAGAGTGTATGTGAGGTAGTCACCTGGGAGACTTTCTTCCTTGTCCCAGGTGTGATCAGTGCCCCTGGGAGTAAAAGTCCAGCCTGTGGTGTGTACATCCCTCTGTAGAACTAAAGATGGTACCCAGGGCCTCCCTCTCCCATGTTCTGCAAATGCTATACCACTAAGTTATGTGGCCAGCCCCTCACTGGGGGAATTGTAGGCAGGTGCTCTACCACTGAGCCATACCTCCCAGCCCCTTACTGGGGGATTCTAGGCAGGTGCTCTACCACTGAACTATGCCCCCTGTCCCTCACTGGGGGATTCTAGGCAGGGGACCTATTACTGAGCCAAGCCCTCTGTCCTTCCATCCATTTTCCTTGGTGATTTTTACCCTAATTCAGGGTGAAAGATCACCAAAGACTAAGTGGGGAGACAAAGCCATGCTGGAAAAGCCAGCTCAGTGCTGTAGTGTTGAGGGGCAGTGCCCATCCTGCTGAGACTGATGTACAGAGGGCTCATGCCCTCACCTGCCCTCCCAGGATCCCCAGAGTTTGAGGCCTGCCCCTCCTCCACAGTCCCTGGGAACCCTGTCTCAGATCCCCAGTAGCAACTGAGCCTTGTAATTAAATATCAGGTAAAAATAGCTGTCCTACTTCCCAACATCATCCTTGTGGCCTCTGGGCCCAAGGGCATAGTGGGAATTCCCTCTCTCCTTGAGGCAACCTAGGGTGCAGCTGCAGTCAATAACCCCAGCTCCACCCAGGGAGGAAAGTACTTGGGACAGGTTTTCTCAAAGACCCCTGCAGAGTACTGTAATGGGGGTAATAGGGGTCAGGAAGCTTTCCTCCAGGAGGCAGAACCTGTGTTGGGCAACACAGTGCAGACAGGATGACCGCCTCACAGCACAATAAGCAACAACTGCAGCTGGATTTGTCATGGCACTTGAAGTAGTGGGTGGTGTGCAGAGTCCACTAAGGTGGAGAGAGATGGGCTCAGGCCTGACCTTTACCTTGCCTCCTAGATTCATCCTTCTAGAATGAATCTACATCCTTCAGGAAGCCTTCCCTGGTGTCCTCTGCCCAAGCTGGCATGAGTGTCTCCTCAGAGTGCCCATGGTCCCCTCCCTGAGCATCCTCTAGCAAGCTGCCCACTTGCATGGTGCTCGGTGTATGCTTCTAAGTTGGTCTCCCCAGAAGGCAGGCTGAGTCATATCCCAGGCTCCTGCCATTTACTCATCCCCTGGGGTCAGAGGCAGGACAACACCTGCCAAATCACCATGGTCACCATGGCCTCCAGGGAGGGTGGAGCTATTGCTGACCCTAAGAGGCCCTGCCCCAGGTCTTTGAGCCCACTCATCCAGAAGACCACCTCTCCCCTGTACATTCAATCTCTGTCTCTTCTCTCCCTGCTAGCTAGGAAAGTCTTCTGAAGGGAGGAGGGATGGAGTTAGGGAACAGGGTCTAGACTAGAGGTGAGGCGGAACTTGGATCTGCCAAGGCTCTGGTGGGCATGTTGTGTCCTAAGCAGGAGACTGACCAGGTCTATCCTGACCTCTCTTCTCTAACCCTGCTGGCAGTGGCAGGCCAGCAGCTTATGGGCCTGAGGACCAGCACAGCCACTTTGTGTCTATCTCAGACTACACAGAACAGGGGAAGCTGGGTGTGATGGCACTTAGATTATGTGTGCACAGCATGTGTATATGTGTGCCTAACCCAATCCTAGCACTTAAGAGGTTTCAAGTTATAGGTTAGCCTGAGCTACACAGGGAGTTCCAGGCCAGTATGGGCTACATTTCAAGATCTTGCCTCAAAACAAAACTAACTAACATAATCAAGCAAATCAACAGCACCCCATACCTAGATACACATAGAGATCAAGGCCCAGACATGGGGGAGACTGAAAGGAGGCAGTACACCACAGGCTAATAGGCCTGGCCAAAGGTGTGCAGTTCCCAACAGTTCTTGGGGCTGGATCTGGGAAGATGACATTCAAGGACTTTGGCTGGCCTTCCCAAACTGAGCATCACTTGTTGAGGGTTAGAAAAGGTCATTCACCCATGGAAGGGCAGTCTAGGAAGTGGAGTCCACAGTCATGGGCAGAGCCTGGCTCTATTTACCTCCAGGTAGAGTGGAAAGGTGTCTCCCACCCACTGTGGGAACCAGTCAGTTTTTGGGGGCTATTGCAGGTGATGTGGGTTCAGATATGGGAAAAGCAGGGTCAGAGGGAAATAGAGTCAAGGTACCAGGAACAGGGTAAACTGAGATACATGTTCCTGCTGTCCAGGCTGACTTGGAAGGTTTATGAATTGAAGCCCAGTGGCCTTGGCCTCTTCCTCAGCCTTTGGGTTCTATATAACCCTCTTTTATTTTCATTTATTTACTTGTGTGTGGTGTACATGCACACTCATGCAGAGGCCAGAGGACATCAAATGTGCTGCTCTATCACTTCCCTATTTATTCCCTTGAGACAGGGTCTCTACTGAATCTGGAACAAGGCTGGCAGCCAGCAAGCCCCAGCCACCCTGTTTCCAACCCCCAACTGCATGGCAGTTCCAGGTGCACAAGGCCATGCCCAGCTTTTTATAGATTTGAACTCAAGTCCTCATGTTTGTGCAGCAAACACTCTTACCTACTGAGCCATCCCCCTAGGCCCCAACCCTCTCTTTTTCCTAAAAGTCTCTCTGCACTGGACAGGAGTTCCCATCATCCTTGTGGATCTTGACCCTCTGGTGTCTGTGTTTAGGTCCCCACTCTTCTCCTTTGGCCCCCAGATGCTAGAAAAAAGCCTGTTGACTGTGCTCCATCCTGGCCCAGGTCCAGTGTCCTTAATTTTCCTATCAACAGGACAGAGTAGCAGTGGCCTGTGGTGGCTTCCATTTGAGATGCAGAAGTAGGGTCCCCAGACATTAAAGACTGGGGACCAGCTGCTACCCCACTAGAACCAGGAGTGCCTCTCACCTTCACAAGCTTCCTGAAGCCTGAGGGTGGAGATAAGGAAGCCTTTTGGCTTCCTCGTTTATTTCTCATCTTGGAAAAAAGTTTGGGTTTTATTATTGTTTTGAAACAGTCTGATGTAGCCAAGGTTGGCCTAGAACTCATTATATGGCCAAGGATGACCTTGAAAAAAATAATTTTTGAGACAGGGTTTTACTATGTAGCTCTAGACCAGGCTGGCCTCAAACTCACAGAGATCTACCTGCCTCTGCTTTCCAAGTGCTGGGATTAAAGACTGGGTTAAATTAAAGGTTCACCACTAGCCCAGCTGACCTTGAACGCATCTTCCTGCCTGCTTGAGGACAGGCATTTGCTGTCACACCCAGTTTATTGTGCTAGGGGTGACTAGAACCCAGGGTGTCGTGCATGCTAGGCAAGCACTCTACCAACTAAGCCACAGCCCCAGGCAGACCTTGTTTTTTTGGGGGAGGGGTGATGTTCTCAAGTGGGAGGTGCTTCAGAGAGGTGGGGCAGGAGATGGATGGGACATAGGTAGCTTGCAGGAGTCCTAGGACTCCACAAAACTCTGGCCTTTGTTAGCCCAAAGGTCAGCCCAATTAGACACTAGACACAGGGACAAAGCCACTGTGCAGGCTGGGGGGTGGGGGAAGCCGGTCTTCAGCCCCGCCCCCCGCCGGGCGCGGTTCCCGACCCCAAGGCCTGGTCATTTCTTTATTGATGAGGCAGCCTTGCAACCGCGCTCGGTAATGGGCGCGGTGGGCGGGGAGAGGCAGCGGCCCCGCCTCCAGTCCAGGGGTCTCAGATTTCTGGGGAGCCCTCACGGCAGGAACTGGTAGCCTCCCTTTTGGCACCTTCTTTGCTCAGGAGTTGATCCTTTCTGCTACCCCTGGACCACCAAATGTGTAAGATGGTCAGAACGAAGGGTACTTACTCTGTTTTAGGCAGGACAGTGCCCCCCTTCTTCAATTCACAGGGGAAACTGAGGCTACTTCTGGATATCCCCTTCCCTCAACACAGGAACATTCTGTTCTCTTTCCCTCAGCATGTTTCTGGAAGCCGACCCCAGCCACGCTTGCTCATGTCCTGCCTTCCAGTATTGACCTGGCCTAACCGGTGCCACTCAGCATCCCATTGATAACCAAGGCTCATTCCAGCCTGCTGTGGCTCCAGCTGCATCTGTGGGGCAGTCCTCACTGCATTTGTCCTCAGCAGCCCTACCTACCTGCACTCCCCCAGTGATGTTAGGCACCCAGGTGCTGTTTAACACGATCACTCTACCTATGCCTTGCCAGAGATCACGTGCCTGGGGCAGGCTCTGAACCAGGGCCTCCTGCCACAATGAGGATGTGGACGGAATTCCCTGTCCCTTCCCACCCCATAAGGTTGGCACTGGGCAGAAGTGGGCATGACTTCTAGTCTTCACACACTTGAACCTGCTAGGACTACAGGTTAGATTAAGATTCCATGGGGGTTGGGGCTGGGGATGTAGCTCAGTGGGTAGAGTGCTCACCTAGCATTCATGAAGCCCTGGGTTCCATTCCCAGAACTGCAAAAACCAGGTGTGGTGCTGCATACACCTGTAATCCCAATACTCAGGAGGTGAAGGCAGTGAATCATGGGTTCTAGACCAGCTTGGGCTACACAGCATGTTGGAGGCTAGCCTAGGCTACATGAGACTGTCTCAAAACAAATGAATTAATGTTTTTTTTTTTTTGGTTTTCCAGAGCTGAGGACCGAATCCAGGGCCTTGGGCTTGCTAGGCAAGCACTCTACCACTGAGCTAAATCCCCAACCCCATTAATGGGTATTTTTAAATAATGTGATTTTAGGGGCTGGAGAGATGGCTCAGCGGTTGAGAGCATTGACTGCTCTTGCAGAGGACCCAGGTTCAATACAAACCATCCTTAACTCCAGTTCCAGGGGAATCCGAAGCCCTTTTCTGACCTCTGTGTCATTGCATAACACAGGTGCATTCACATACATGCAGGCAATACACTCATACACATAAAAAAATGAATAAAATATTAAAAAAATAAAATAATGTGATTTTTTTTTTTATATCTTTTTGAGACAGGGTCTCCCTGTAGTCCCAGCTGTCCTGTAACTCACTATGTAGACCAGGCTGGCCTTGAACTCACAGGGATCTGCCTGCTTCTGCCTCCCGAGTGCTGGGATCAAAGGCGTGCACCACCATGCCCGGCCATGATTTTTAAAATAAAATAAAAGGACAAAGTAGCTTGTTCAGTGACTTAAGCCCCACCCTCTATTCTCTAAATACATTTCATTGGTTCCCTCTTTTGCTCTGAGCACAATGAGGAAGCTGCAGAGGTCTCTTTCCTGGCCTCCCAGTTTCCTACTTCACAAATCTGGGCTTGAAACCCTGACAAAGGTCAGTTTCAAGAACCCACATGTAGCTGGGCCACCCTGCTCCCATGTCTCCCCTATGGGAAGTAGGGGTCAGAAGAGCAGGAGTGGGGACCAGGATCCCATGCTAAATTGGGGTGGGAGGTGTCTGTCTCAAAAGGTTGGCCTATTTTTTCCTAGAAAGTAGCCAGTGCTGGACAGTTCCTCACCACCTCTATAGGTGGAAAGCAGGCTAGGTTGGCTCCAGTGGCCCCAGTTCTGTTCTCTCCCACTCTGCCCTGACCTTCTTGGGACTGCAGAGCAGAAGCAGCCCCTCTGCAGCTCTGGCTTGGGCTTAGTAGTCTCTCCCTCTTCTAGTGCCACTTGGGTCCTGACCAGTATCCCAAACCGGCAAGATGATTCCCCTCTGTGCCTGTCATTTAGCTTGCATTCTAGCTGTGTGTGTGTGTGTGTGTGTGTGTGTGTGTGCGCGCGCGCGCGTGCGCACATGCGTGTTGGCACTACCTACTGAGCCATCTCCCCAGCCCCTGCATTTTGGCTCTTTCTTGACACCACAATACATGTGACTTCCAAGACCTGCTGATGATACTAATTAAGTTCTCTGGGGTTTTCTCTGATTTCCTCTGACACTGGGTACCCAGCCTGGCATACTCCCACCTACCCAACTCTTCTGCCCCAGTGGCAGGCAGGCCTTCAGCCTACACAGGCCTGGGGAGCCCTCCTCCTCCTGGGCTGCCCCCACCCTTGTCCTATTATAACACCTTGTGATTTGTGGCCAGTCTCCTTCATCAGATGGCTTGCCCCCAGGTGGCTCTGTCCTCAGAGGGTCACAAGTCTCTGCAGAGTAGAGCCCTAACCTGCTTCACTCAGAGGAGAAAAACAACCTTATACTCCCACACAGCCATGTCCGGCTCACCATGGCCACAAGCAGGTGTCAGGTGTGAATTCACATTGAGAGCATACTTGCTATCCCTGGGAACAGAATGCAGCCATAAAAAGCCTGCCTCCCAAGGGTGGAAGAGACCTCTCTAGAGCTGTGACTGCTCCCATGGCTCCATGTGGACAGTCAGGAGTCAGAATGGGAGGCAGTCTCTAAGACAGCACCCTACTCCATGGGGACCACAACCAGGAGGCCCACAGCACCTGAACTCCCCAACCCCCCCACAACTCTACCAAGGCTGGGAGACTATTCAAGAAATAAGATCCAGAATTGGGTGCTATGGTGCATACCTGTAATTATGGCACTCACAAGTTGGAGGCAAAGGGATCAGGAGTTCAAAGCCAGCCTTGGCTACATACTAAGTTTGAGGCCATCCTGGGCTGTATGAGACCCTGTCTCAAAACAAAACAAGGGCTGGAAAGACATCTGTCTCATGGGTAAAGGAGCTTGCTACCAAGCCTCATGACCTGAGTTTGATCCCTGGGACCTGCATGCTGAAAGGAGAGAACTGACTCTTGCAAGTTGTCTTCTGACCTCTACATGTGTGCCACAGCCGTGCACACAGACACAGATAAGTAAATATAATTTAAAAAATTTAAAAAAAACCACAAAATTGAAGGCAAGATCTTGTCAGAGAGAAGTGGCTTGGAGGTCTGACTTGCAGGCTGAGTGATTTCACTTCCCCTAAGGTTTTTTTTTTTTTTTTAAATGAT